TGTAGGAGGGTTGGCAGGTGGGGGTTCCTCATTAGATGAGATATCAAATCCCAGGGCCATCTTACCCCTAGGGGTGGATTTCTGTTGAACTTCTTGGTGGTCGTCCCGATCATGTTACAGGGCCATATTTCGAGGAATTCGTCTCCTATATCATGTGAAATCTTCTTCCAGATTGATCCGGGCTCCCGGCCTTGTTGTGGTCGTGTACTATTCATATGATGTTGATCTGCTCCAATGGATTCCCTTTCTCTGTCAAGGATATACTGAGTAAGAACTCCACGTGCATTCTTGAGGAGTATCTTAACATGTGCCTTTTGGGCGTGGATGTATTTCCTAGATTCTGCCTTAGGGACACGAGGATGCTTGTAATCATCTTGCATCAGATCGCGTTCATATCTGGTGATTTGAGAACGAACAGTATGAGGTGATTTAGGTAGCTTGACATTGCGAGCTTTTCTATCCGTCGACTAATGAGTATCATGTGAATCAGGTGAGTGAGCGTTGAAAAAACACTAATTGCTAGCATATGGGCTACATACGACAATCTACAGGGATTAGCATCACAAGGATTTCTAAACATCAGCTGATGAGTACCAAGCGAATCGAGCGAGTTAGCATTGCGAAAATGCCTTACCGTTGGCATATGGACTGCATATGGCGATTTGAATGGATTCACATCACGAGGATTCATAACCGCTAGCTAATGAGTATCATGCGAATCGACGGCGTTAGCATTGCAAAAACGCCTAATCGTAAGCATATGGGCTGCATTAGGCGAATTGGACAAAGTAGTATCATGAGGATTTCTAACCGCCAGGCAATGAGTATCATGCGAATCAAGCGAGTTGGCGTTGCAGAAACACCTAACAACGGGCTGCATACGACGATCTAGATGGATTAGTATCATGAGGATTTCTAACCACCAGTCGATGAGTATTGTTAACAACCGAGTGCGGAACTCATTGTTGAGTGTAATTTTATCACAAACTAGATCAGATCGTTAATGACTCATACTTTGCCTTTGGGAAGTTATGATCACTTAGTTCCAGTGGGAAGACTAAGAATATGATCACTTGGGGATAATGCAACAAACCTATGGAGGATGAGTATGGTTCTTGTCATTCAAGTGTGTTCTATTTTGTATTATGGTCGGAGCATGGCTTAAGTCTATGGATTCCGAGAATAGGCCAATGATTGTTTCAATAGCAGTTTAAAGTTGCCCAGAGATGGCTTAGCCCATCTCAGTTTGGACAACAGTCTAAAGCTACTTAGAGATGGATTAACCCATCTCAGTTTCAATAGCAATATAAAGTTGCCTAGAGATGGCTTAACCCATCTCAATTTCAATGGCAGTCTAAAGCTACCCAGAGATCGCTTAACCCGTCTCAGTTTCAACGATAATCTGAAGCTTCCCAAAGATGGCTTAACCCATCTCAGTTTCAACGGCAGTCTACAACTGCTCAGAGATGGCTTACATCTCAGTTTCAACAGCAGTTTAAAGCAACCCAGAGATGACTTAACCCATCTCAGTTTCAATAGCAGTCTAAAGATGCCCAAAAATGGCTTAACCCATCTCAGTTTCAACGGCAGTCCAAAGCTACCCAAAGATGGATACGACCAATTGATATTTTCAAGAAGGGAATCATTTCTTCTAGAATAAGGAATTCTCTCTTTAAATCAGCACTATTGAAATCTAGGCTCTTTGCTGTATCACCCTTAAAAGGAGCATGCGTTGAGTTGAAATGACGAAAGTGGCTACAACCCGCTATCACCGACATTGATGATGTCAATGAATATCTGATTCTACTCCTACAAAATCATGGGGTTCGAAGGTTTTAGAAGCACCAACGATTGCATTTGTGAAGATAATGTAGCAAAAAGATCAATAACGTGAGAAGATAAATACAAGAGGTAAACTAAAGCTAAACACAAGAAGGTAAACCGCATATGAAGAAAAAGTTCATGTCCTGCAAGATATATGATTCAAATGAGTAGATAAACAAATGAAGATGGCAATTTGGCTTAGTTTTGAGCATTCCGCCAATGCATGGGGGTTGCTCTATATAAACAAGCTTAGGTCAATTGTGAAAAGTTTGGATCATTCGTTAATGAAATTGAGGCATTAGCTTGTGTCTCACCCGCTTTGCTTCTAGCTCTTGGATCCAGTGATGAGGAGAGATAAAAATTTTAGAGAGAGAAACTACCCCTACTCTATAACCTTAGCCTACCATGTGGTCCATGCGCACCAACCCTGACCCGTGGCTAACCACTCTCTCTCTCTCTCGTGTGCAAAAAACGAGGTTGAGGCAGCATGACCAGGCTAGGTCACACCTCAAGCCTACTTTCACTCCTCTATTTCTCCTCTTTCCTCTTTCTTTCTCTCTCTACATCATTTTTCTCACGTAGTAACTCAGAATCGCAGCAAACTTGCGGCCCAGTCCCTCTCTGCGCCCTTCTATCCTTTATCGCGAGTTAAATCAAGAAGCCGCAGCACCTGTGGCCTCGTCTCTCTCTATGCCCTTCTCTCCTTTGTCGTGCATTAAGTCTCGGAGCCACAACAACTGCGACCCCATCTCTCGTAGAGTTCTTCTCGTTCTCATAGCAACCTGGAACCACAACAAACCTGCGGCCCCATTATTTTCCCCTCTTTCTTCCTCTCCTTTGCTTTGTGTGTAACAGCAACAAACTTGCGGCTTCATCACTCTCCTTTTTCTCTTCTCACCTTTACTTTGAGCATGACCACAACAATTATGTGGTCTCACTCCTATACTACACCCCGTTTCTTATAGAGCCATGACAAAGCGTAACCCCATCCTTCCCCTCATTCTTCTTCATTCCTCATTGTGTACTGACAGTATCCTGTTATCCATCATACGCTTGACTAGATACCTCTTGGAACCATCTCAAGAGTTTTAACACTCAGATCACCACTCTAACTTCCTCGCCATATAGTTGAGTCGAGTTGTACGAGATATATACGCTCTCGCCCTCACTCACTCGGGTGGAATCATCCTGAGTTGGTAGTCGAGAGAGTTTTGATTCTTTAGTCACTCTGATTGCCAAGTTTCCTAGCATTCATGCGGATAAAAGGATATATGTCGTCACTTCTCCTTTATCCTTTCTTTGTTAGCCAGTCCCTACTCGAGTGAGCCATTATAGAGGACTATTTTCAAATTCACATTGCAAGTTGTGAAAGAAAAGAACGAGACGACATGTTGAAGTTTGAGAAGAGTTCGTGTCCAAACCATGCTGGCAAACAGCCAGAGGGCTTCATAATTGTTCTAAGAGGGCGACTACAATCTCTTGTTGTTGGTTCCTATTCACAACAAGAAGAGTACACTCGCACGCATAAAACACCAACACATGTGGACCCTTCACGGTTGTTTGAGAGAGGGTTTTCTCTCAACAAGAAAACCAGGCCTGGACCAACTATCTCTGGGCAGCTTGAGACTGCTTCTTCGAGAATCTTCGTCGAATCTCAAAATCCATGGACTAAGCTATGCTCAAAGTATGGTCAAAATAGGGCACACTTGAACATGTTATTAAGAACCATACTTATTCTTGATCCTCTATGGTCATTCATCATATGTTCACTGCCAGTCCCCAGGTGGTTATTCTTAGTCATGCATTGGGACTAAACAATTATACTTTTCAAGGTCAAAGTATAGGCCATTCGCAACTCAATCTTTGTTAAGTGTTGATTCGAATATTCTCACACATTTTAAAGGTGATCGAGAATCAAATCAAGAATATAATGGCCCTGGTACCATGAGGAAATTCCTTATATCGAGGAGGAAATCCCAGTTTTGATGATCAAATGTCATCTTGACTGCAACGCATGGGTATAAGGCCTTCAAAGTTTCAACCGCTGGGCGATATGGATGATGGGTTAATCCATCCTCACTTCATATGAAATTTTGGGATGAGGGTTATAATGTCTCAATCATAGATCCTTGAAAATCTTGACTTGTTCCCAAAACATAAAGTTTTGGGATATCAGTCAAGGCATATCTTAACTAACAGTGAATACGAACATGGGTTAAGCCAAGTCCAAATATTGCTCAAGTTATATCATTCCTGGACTTTAAGGCATATCAGGCCTTTAACATGTATATCATTGGGAATTTTCTTTCATATATCAACATATGGCGAGGTTACCCTTATTGCTCAGTCCGTTAGAACTCCACATTTTAACTGACATATTAAAAGAATCATTGCTCGTAGGTTACCATATTTATGCATAACTAACAGCGATGCCTAGAAATCAAACGGTATCTAGTTGTACCATATATCACGGGCATATCAGGGCCTAGAACTTGTCTCAAACGAGATGGCTTCGATTCTCATGCCAACCTTGAATTTGCTCGGTTGACGAGCTACATGCCTCATATATTTATCAGTCATAAATTAGAATATTTAGGGACTACTAACGAATCAAGACTCTTTAGGCATATCAAGACCTTCATATGGTGAATCCTGATCATATTACATATATCATATTATATGGGGCATATCTGAGCAGGTATTATCAAGAACCATATTCTTATCTTATCAACCATGCGTCAAGATAACTATCCAGCGTGGACTATAGGCTTTGTTGTATATCAGCATCTTCAATCTATCGAGCGTTTGTTAAAACACACTTAGTCTGATAAATGACCAACAGGCATATCCATCTTTTTAAATCATATCTTCAAGGGATTTTTTCATCGAGCTTGCATATTTTTATTTGAGCATGCGTAAAGTTCACTACTCGTAACTGCCTTAAAGGTATGCTTAACTTGAGGCATATCATTTTATAATGTTGTATACTTTTGAATTGAAAAAATAAATAATATAGTGTTTTTTTTTTGTGCTACGAAAGAGACGAGAATAATTAGATGAGCCATCAATGGTATTGTCCCCTTGCTTCTTAAATGTTAGAAAATAGCCAAACTACTCTAAACCCATAATGATTTTTAACAATAATTTGTGAAAATCCAACAGTTGGCTCTCCGTAGTTTCAAAAAATTCATATTCATTTTCATTTACAGCCAAATAAAGGGCAAAATAACATGGATTGATGTTCTTCTTATTACAATATGATGTAATAAAGGAACATGTGAAGACACAAAATAACAAATACAAATTTAGTCTAGTCCTAACAGTAGTTGTGCACTTGATGCCATAGGATTTTGATTGGAATCATCCAAAGGCTTATGCTCTACTGCTTGGTGTAGCGATAATCGAAAGAATTTCAATTAGCACTGAAACTGGTTGTCTCGTATTTTCTTTAGCTTAGGCAGCACGTCTCTGATGTTCATGCGCTTCTCTAGCGACTCTGAGGTACAAGCCAAGCATATTTCGAACAATGAGATTATGCAAAATTTCCAACTTTCCTCGTCTTTTGGTCGAATGCTAGCCATGCCATTGCTGATAGGATTTAGTAGCTCAGGATCCAAAATGTCCAATATCCTATGGGGAAACATCACAGAAACCCATTTTGGCAAGCTTACTTCTCCTGTAAACATGTCATCGGTAGGCTTCTTTCTTGTAAACAACTCCAATAACAGGACCCCAAAACTGAAAACATCAGCTTTAGTTGAAGTCATCCCGCTAATGCCATACTCTGCATCTCGTGTTGAATATTGAAAAGCATAAAATCAGTTAGAAAATCCACCTTTATCTTATACCAAGACAAAAACTAGAGTTGTCAAAATGCAATTTTGTAAAAGTTTAGAGGCGACAAACAAGTAAAGAATTTACATGGTGCTAATTTTGGCATAGAAATCGGTGACAAATTCAATGTGTTCTATTAATTTAGGAGATGGAATTGAGCAAACCTGGTGCAATGTAGCCGATCGTTCCTTTGAGATTGAATGTAGTAGATTGATGACAATCTGAAGGTTCAGTATCTTGCAACCTTGCCAAACCAAAGTCCCCTACTCTTGCTGTCATATCTTGATCAAGAAGGACATTGCTAGGTTTGAGGTCTCGATGCACAATAGGCGTGGAACAGTCATTGTGTAGATAATCTAATGCAGACGCGACATCAATCGCTATGTTCAGTCTTTGAGAAAGGTCTAATTGAATCCCATGTGATGAATTTTCAGGGGGATGCAACCATTCTTCCAGGCTGCCATTTGGCATGAACTCATAGACCAGAGCCTTGAAATCAGTATTATTGAAATCAGTACTTAAGCAAGAGGTGATGAGCTTAACAAGATTCCGATGTCGAATGCTACGAAGGGCATCACACTCCACAAAGAAGCTCTTGGATGCCCCATGCTTTTCGAGGTTCAAGACCTTGACAGCAACAACAGTTCCATCACGAAGGCATCCTTTGAAGACAGAGCCAAAACCACCACCGCCTAAAAAGTTAGTTGGATTGAATTTATCAGTTGCAACTGAAAGCTCCTCATATGAAACCCTTTTGTGTACAGCTCTAAACGACTCTGACGAGGCCACCTTCACTGGTTTACTCTTCCTGTAGAATAATATATATGCCAACCCTAATAAAACGATGAGGAAAGTGAATCCAGCTACTGCAATTGTCACTTTCAGTACCAAAGACATTCCTTGAGAACTAGAAAGATGGCACGAGGGTAATTGCCATTTGCTTGTGATTTTGCTACATAGCCTCATGTTTCCTTGGAGTTCCTGCTTCGTGATGTTGGCAAACACACCCTCATTTGGGACTTCCCCTTCTAGATTATTGAAGGAAAGATTCAAGTATTGCAAGTACTTACTTGATTGCAAAGACATTGGGATGGCTCCTGACAAATGATTAGAGGAGAGGTCCAAGATTTGCAAACCTTATATATCCCCTAAGGAATCAGGTATTGTACCTGTGAAGGAATTATCATGAAGGAATATGTACTGCAATCCGTCACAGTTACCAATCGTGGCTGGGATGATCCCAGACAAATGATTCTTTGAAACATCAATGGCGACTGTCTTATCTAATTCTCCAACTTCAACTGGCAAGGGGCCGCTCAAAAGATTATGAGATAAGTTGAGATAAAGACCTAAGCTCGAGAGACTGGAAACTTCCTTAGGAATGCTTCCTTCTAGTTGATTTCGGGACAAGTCCAAAGAGAGGAGTTGCTTAAAGAAGCCAAGACCAGAAGGTATTGTTCCAGTAAGATTGTTCCCATGTAAATCAAGGTGATTCAACTTGGTGAGACCACCAAGAGAGTCAGGAATTGTACCCGACAACATGTTCTTCGCGAGACTCAGACTCTGCAGGTTTTTCAGTCGGACAATCTCTGATGGGATGCTCCCGCTTAATGAGTTCCCAGTCAAGTTTAGAAGTGTCAATCCAATGAGATTGCCAATTCCAACTGGTATGCTCCCGTGCAAACGGTTACCCCCAATATAAAATTTTGAGAGGTGGGTGGAGAGGTTTGACACAGACGCTGGGAGAACCCCATGGAAGAGGTTCTCATCAGCAGCAAACCACTCGAGTTTCGTGCAATTGGCCAAAGATGTGAGGAATTCCAGTCCAGTCTCTCCTTCCCCAGTGAGCCTGTTGAATCCGATATTGAAGAAGATAAGCTCCTTTAGGTTGCCCAGACCCAAGGGAACAGTCCCCTCCAAGAAGTTGTGCGACAACCTAATGTTGGTGAGCTTTGTGGCATTAATCAGCGTTGAAGGGATGGGACCAGTCAGGGGATTTATGCAGAGGTTTAGCAATTCGACATTTGGGAGCCTCAAGCCAATGTCGGAGGGGATTCGCCCGTGCAAATGGTTATCTGCAACTACAAATGTGATGATTGTGGAGATGTTATAGAGGGAGTCAGGGATGGTTCCTGAAAGCTCATTGCTGGAGAATTGGAGGTGCTGCAATTTCGGGAAGCGTCCAAGATCAGGTGGAATGGAGCCATTCAAGGAGTTCGTTCCAAGGTGGAGGGTGGTGAGAGAGGTTATGTTCGCGATCGAGGGCGGGATGGTGCCAGTAAGCAAATTTTGTCCAAGCCTCAATACTTGGAGCCTCGAAAGCAAAGAAAGCTGGTTAGGAATGGAGCCAGTTAGCCGATTGCTCAGCATGTCGAGCATGATCAGCTGACGACATCCTGTGATATCCTCAGGAATCCCACCTTCAATGAAGTTGGAGCTTACATTCAGGCTCCGAAGTCGAAACAAATGACCGATTTCCTTGGGGAGGCTCCCAACCAACTGATTGTTTTGCAGGTGCAGTTGTCGAAGGAAGGAGATGTTTCCGATGTGAGGAGTGATGCTTCCTGTCAAGCGAAGACTCTGCAGATCGATGGCCACAACTCGTCGGTTGCGAAGATCGCAAGAAACTCCTCGCCATCCATCACAAACAGTGGTAGAGTTGGCTCTCCATGAGTCCAGGGAGTTGCTTGGGTCGCTGGTTATGAAAGATTTAAAGGAGAGGAGTGCTTGAAAATCGCTGCTGGTGTTCAAGGCTAAAGCTGGTGGCGCCATGAGCACCAGCAGGAGCAATGAATACAGAAGGGAACAGGCACACCGGTAATTTGGAAAGAGCTTCATCCTTATCATTGAATGTTTTTTGGCATGGGAGAGCTAGATGGGTGGTGTGGGGGGGCTTATATTAAGCCACGGTTTCTATGAGTCGGCCGACTCATACGTACATATGCGGGCCCCCACTAAAATTCATTTTAGATAATGTTTTTTGCTTTTTTTAATTCATCATCGATGATCTATGAAAAAAAAATAAACTTTTTAAACATATTTTGAATATTTTTTTTGTACATAGTCCATATCTTATTTATGGATGTTTGTAAGTCACTGACTAATGAAATAATTTTTCGTTAGATAAAGTGCGTACAAACTCTACTGATTTCGCATAAAGTTTGAAATTCAAACTCCTTGGCAGACTTGACTCTTTCTTTAATAATTGAGAGAGACTTAAACATTCACATGTATGAGTACCTGAACATAACCCCTTGTAAATATGATCAATCTGCACTACTCTTATAATTTTAAATTTTATAATTAGGGTTGCACATGGATTTTTAAGTTATCACAAGGTTCGTAACACTAAAACTACATCTTCCGATAAAAATTATTAATATGTCTTACTTGTAGGGTCTAAGGTGGGCACTTTATAAAATCCTCACCTTGAAATAAAATAAGTAACCAATGCACATTCAATATTTTTTATTTTTTATTTAAAAATAAAAAAAATAAAAATAAAAAATAAAAAAGAAAGAAGGAAGGAAGGAAGAAGAAGAAAAAGAGGTAGATGACTATCAATTTTGGATACAGTCAGATGCGTTAGTGAGAACAGGTTGACCTTCAAGCGGGGATATTTCATCTTTACCGTCCATAAGATGCAAGTGTCATTGCATTTTTTGATTTAAGGGGCAACTGGAGGTCTAATCATCTATTGCTTTTGGAGTGTCAGACGCTATTCGAAAAGAGAAGCATCTGGTGACCGGAGCTAGAGTGCGGCCACATCAATGACTTTGGGACTACAACACACCCTTCCATCAACGCGGTCTAGGAGGAAACACTGATTTCAAAGTGGGACAAGTCATCACTCGTATTAGTATCCCCCCTCCTACACGCAATCGTAAAATTGTGACCAAGGACTTTTATGTTTTGATTTTATTTTCTTTTCAGCGTTCTAAAATCCAATAATCTTGTGATAAAAGAGGGATAAAATCAGTTATTTGTATACAAGCAATTTTAAGACCTTGCAATGAAGATTTCAGTTCTGCCTTATTTGCAGTGGCATTACCACACGGGCTAGATTACGAAAAAAACAACATTATTTTCGGGATCTGTCAAAACGCCTCCAAGCCTAGCCACTCCTAGTTACCTTGCGAACTACTATCAAAGTTTAACTTTAGCCAACCTATTACTGATATTTTTCAGCTAGTATTTGGCCATTTTTTTGCAACCACCACTCAAAGTCAGATTTTTTAAATTGATGAACGCCTCAACCAGTGAAACACCTCTTTTCCTTATTTGGTGAAAGAAGGGATAATTTGGAAACCTAGACAGGTGCATGGTTAAGGGCAAATGTAGATATCCACACATATTTGGGTCCATTGTTGGTCCAAAGATCAGATGAGATCAATGTTGTCAAATTCACTTCGCTTCAGCCAAAGAGGTCGAAGTCTTCGGATTTTAGGTATAGACCGAAGCGAAGCGAACTGAAGTGAAGCCTGGTACTGCTGATTCAGATTTGGACCGCTTTGTGCTGCTTTAGCCAGATTTAGGTCTATTTCGGGTTGATCTGGCCGAAGCAAAGAAATATCTATATATTTTTATTTTTTTGATATATTTTTTAAAAATTTTCCATTATTTTATACATTTTATATATAAATATCTAATTTATTTATGTTAAAAATGTTAAAAAAAAATTCAAAGTTTTCCCCTGAATCGGCCGAAGCACCGAATTGCTTCATTTTTATCACCAAACTAAAGAAGACTCTGAAGAGAATCTGACAATATTAGATGAGAAAAGAGGAAGAATGTGTTAGGTTGGTTGTCAGCGTAAACTTTTTGCCAAATCTCTATGATGATTTGGGTCCGTGCCGAAAATGCTCACTTTTAAAAAGTAAGTTAGGACCATGTCTCCATGTCTCCATGCTCACTTTTAGATGGAGACATGGTCCTAACTTACTTTTAGATGGAGACATGGTCCTAACTTACTTTCTAAATCTCCCCATCTAAAGTAGTCGAAATAAATAACTTTCTTTGATAGAGTAAATATTGATATATAATTTGATATCTATCTCATTCTTAAAATATTATAAATAGGTTAAAAATATACTTCCTATTTCAAGCATTTTAACATTTTTCTCTCTTGTTTCTTTTTGCTTTGTTTTTTTTTTTCTTAATCCACTATTGTTAATAGCTTTATGCATTATGGTTTCTTTTTTTTAATGTTTTTTTTGCTGCTAATGGTTTTCATTTATTTTATTTATAGTTAGTTGGTGGAAACTCAATCGCACTCAAGCCTCCAAAACAGTATATTTTGTTCTATAAGGAATTCGTATGTAGGTTGTCCTTGAGAGAGAAAGAAACATATAGTGAGATGGGCAGCTAGGGTTGAGTTAAGTGGTGTTTTAGATAGAGAGATGTGTTTCATTTTATAGATTTTTTTAGAGAAAGAAACAATATCAAGAAAGAACAATGCAACTCTTAATATCATAAAAAAAATTAGTAGATGGAACTATTCGATTTTTGTTTTGTTTTTATTTATAAATCTCTGCAGTTTTTATTATTTAATAAAATTTCAATTGTTCACGTGAAATACACGAAATCCGTCTCCAAACAACGTACGCAATCCGACTACTTATTTTAAGGAAAAATTTCATACAGAGCCTTAATTCCCCATCTTATTTCATGTAGACCCTCATTTCATTTTTCTTTCAAGCGGTATAAAAAAAATCCCTAAAGATTACATCCTCATCTCTTATCTCTCTCATTTATTCACTTTTGACCATAAAAATTAGCCTTAACAAATATTTTATACCATTTCAATCTAAAAATGTTTCAAACTTGTTTAACCAAAAACTTTTCTTAACCCACCCCATTATATCTTTTAATCAAAAAATATTTCAAAAATATTTTTTTATTATATTTTTGCCCTTTCAACCCCTCAATGCCACTTTGAGGCTCTTTCTCTCTTTCTCATATTGAGTTAAAATGGTATAAAAAGGTATGTTGGGGCTCATTTTTGTAGTCAAAAGTGAATAAATGAGAGAGATAGAAGATGAGTGGGTACTATGAAATCCTTAAAAAAAAATTTACGCCGCTTGAAAGAAAATTGGGAGGGTCTAGCATAAAATAAGATGGAGAATTAGGGTTCTCTACAAAATTTTCCCTTATTTTAAAGGCTATCTTGAAACGTAGCGAGAGGAGTGGAAAAAAGAGTACGAAGAGGGAGGGATGCCAAGTTACATGGAACGTGACAACAAATAGAGTGGTAAGATGAAAGTGATCAATGATAATGCAAGTATGAGGTAGCAACATTAAATACAATGAAGATAGAGTGAAAAGAAATGAGGTTAACATGTGGTCCAAAAGCACCACAAAAGCTAACCAATCAATAACAAGAAGAGAAAATTATGTATATATCCATTATACTATGCATTATTACATATCCACCTTTCAGTTTCTGTTATTATCTCCATGTCTGTTATTTCACTTTCATAACGAGATTTTTTAAAATAGATGATTTTACCCATTTTCAGGTGTTGAAAAATAGAAATAAAAAATTTCGACTTTTCAACAACAGAAAACGGAAATAGGTCATTTAACCTTCCCGCTCTAGTTACAGTTGTTCAACAATCGAAATCAGGGTTTTCGGGTGTTGAAAAACCAAAAATCTAATTTCAGTTGTTCAACAATCGAAAACCTAATTTTGGTTGTTCAACAATAGAAAACCTAATTTCGGTTGGTCAAAATCCGAAACCGTGGAGTGAGTTGTTTTCACAACCGAAATTATATTTTCGATTGCATGATTTTGGTTTTTTAATAACTGAAAATTTATGGACTTTAGCTTTTGATTAGCCGAAAATGTTCGCGCCAATACTTCGCACGTTTTTTATTTACGAAAAGTTTTTTAGGGTATAAAGTTGAGGGAAAACGAGAAATATAGTATCATACATGGATCCATACCCATTGTACTTTCAACCAATACAATATCCCACGAGATTAGCCCGTGGTCATGATTGGTATGATACTTACTCTTGCCTTATGTTGTTGATTGTTTTTTGTTAGTTTTGTCACAAAGGGTATCATATTTTTATATTTGTAACTTTATGTATTGTTGATTAATAAATAATATTTGTTAAAATATTGCTGAACGTGTTTCTTTGTATAATTATTTGTTGTTTGTATAAATATGTATTTTTATTTTATGTTGATACATTGTCTTTATTGTATTGGGTAAATATTGTTGAACTTGTTGGTTTGTGTTATTATTTGTTGTTTATTTGGAGTTTGTTTGAGTATTTGTTAATTTTGTTGTTTATTAATTATTTGTCCTTTTATAGTAGTACACTATTTGAATTTATTATGTAATCCTCAGTTTTTATGAACCCTAGTTAGAAATATCCAAAATTTTTGTATTCTTTATTATATCAATTTATTGTGACACAAATTTTGCTATTCATTTAATATAGTAGCATTGACGATGGTTACTGAGGGAGTGCAACTAGTATTCCGATATGGGGGGTCATTTGAGACGAATGCAGATGACGGTCGTATCTTTTACAAAGGGGAAAAATTGAAGGTTACGAAGTATAATGGAAATAGTTTTTTTGAGGAAATAAAAAGTCATTTTGGTAATTTAACAAAGTGTGATCCTAACAAATTAACTAGTATGTACCACAACACAAGTCTTCCTAGTGTGCTTGATTTGATTGATGTAAGTGATGATGTAGATGTATCTTTTATGTTGGGAGGGGAATCTTCAAAAATTGTTGTATATATTACATCTACAATGGAGCCAGAACGAGAATCTAGTGGTGAAGGTCCATCTTCAAGAAATAGGTATATCTATAATTTACTTTTTCATCTATAAT